GGTGTTAAGCTGCATGTGCACTTGAAACAATTATTTAATAAGTAGCGCTCTACTTCCAAGTCAAACCCATTAAGACTACTAAGAATGCAGACATTTAAAAAAAAATCCAGTTCTTCAAAAGCTAATTCACTGACACTTTTTATTTCCGTGAATTTGAGATGTCTCTTACCCTAAGTGAACTAAAGAAATGACAGCTAAGGGAAACGAAGTCAGCACAAAATGTGGATGGCCAATAAAACTTTCAGACGATGTAAATGCTGAGCAGACGAGCAAAGTAAAGCCTCCATAAAGCAAAAGACCCGCTGAAAGGTTTAGCTGACAGGGAGCTAGTGATGCAACATTTCACTGTAAAGCGCTGATGCGCAAACAGAGTCTAAAGGTAAAACTTGCATGGCACATTCTCGCAAACCTCAATGTCTGAGGTATGCAAAGCAACATGTCATACTGTAAACAAGTGGCATGGACAGATAAAGTTGAGTCAAAGGTTTACGAGATAAAAGGAGCAGCATTTGATGAAAGAAAGCCTTGGCAGTCCCTAAACATTGGAGTGGCAATATTCTTCTTTGGGGTTGTGCAGCAGTAACAGCAAAAGCACAGAGAGGCTTTCACTACATAGTAACAAAATCTCATTGGACAGCAGCCCTCAACCATCAGCTACTCAAAGAAACACAAGCTTAAGCATTTTTGATGGCACTTAAATTCATCTGCCTTAGTAATGCTGTGTAAGCAAAACAGCCTAAAAACATCAGAACGTAAAGTAATCTGCACAGAAAAGTGGCTGAAAATTCACAAGTTAGGAAGAGAAAGACTAAGGCTACGTTCACACTACAGGCGAAAGCACATCAAATCCGACTTTTCTGACCCTATGCGACCCATATCCGATCATGGTACGACAGTGTGAACAGCACAAATCCGATACGCCAATTATCAGTGCCGGAGAAGCGCCCAAGAAGACATTGTGAACACTTCCTGGCCATCCAGTGTAGATGTTAGTGAAACTGTTGGGAAGACAGCGTTGGAGAAACGTGAACATTTTATTTGTACTGTATAATCTGCAGATTCTGACAGAAATTTGCAACTATCCTTTGAAGCACCGCTCCTCTCTAAAACAACAATAAGTATAGTAGTAGTAGTAGTAGTAGTTGTTATTAGGCTATATGTAAATAACAAAATAACTTTATAACTTAAAGAAAAATTGGGAAACGTAAAGTGCGAAACAAGTCTTTATATTAAGGGCCATCGGTCAAACAATATTGTTTGCTCTGGGTCTAAACAGAGCACGTTGTGTGTGACTAGGGCTGGGCCATATTATACAGTTCACGGTAATACCGGTATAATGTTAGGCAACGATAGGAAAATGAAATATCGCGATAGAATATGAGTAAAACGCGCATGCGCAGTGCCTTTGTTTTCATACGCACATGGCCGATTGTTGAGTGAAACAGATGAACCAGAATTGGTTTGTAAAAATGGTGCAACTTCAGTGATGTGGAACTGGTTTGGTGTTTGTCCGTCAGATATACGACAAAGCACATTTTTTTGCAGAACATGCAAGCGGCCGTCGTTATTGTCGTACCGTATTTTCACGACCATAAGACGCACTGTACTAAAAGGCGCAGTCTCAGTTATGTGTGCCATTACTGTATTTAACACACACATAAGGCGCACTGGATTATAGGGCGCATACAAGTACTGTATGCGTATTTAAAAAATAAAGCGGGAGCAAACCTGAGTTCGGTACCTTACTCACATTTCTATTACCAGTATTCGTCATCATCAACAACACACAAGCATACAAATGTGCGTATTTAAAAATAAAGCAGGAGCAAAACAAAGTTTGGTACTCACATTTTTATCATCAATCAAACCCATCGAAGTCCTCATCCTCTGTGTCTGAATTGAACAGCTGCGCTAAATCTCCATCAAACATGCCAGGTTCACTTTCTTCACTGTCAGAGTCACTTTCCGTGCCGTGCGGCTCCTTGGAAATGATGCCGGCTTTTGCGAAAGCTCGAACAACAGTGCCATCAGACATGTTAGCCCAAGCATCTACAATCCATTGGCAAATTGTGGCATAACTCGCCCGGCGCTGCCTTCCACTCTTGGTGAAACTGTGGTCTACATCGGTCATCCATCGCTTCCAGGCCGCTCGCAGCCTTACTTTGAACGGGCGGTTCACACCGATGTCCAGCGGTTGGAGTTCCTTTGTCAGGCCTCTCGGAATGACAGCAAGCTCACAGTTCATTTGTTTCACTAGTTTTTTCACATCGGCTGTGAGATGGGCACGCATAGAGTCACAGATTAAGAGCGATGGTGATGCGTGGAAAAAACTACCTGGTCTCCTTTCATACACCTCCCTCAGCCACTCTTTCATCATTTCCTCATCCATCCAGCCCTTTTCATTTGCCTTAATGATGATTCCTGCTGGAAACTTCTCTTTAGGCAAAGTCTTTCGCTTAAAAATCACCATAGGCGGCAGTTTCTGTCCATTAGCATGGCAGCCAAGCACAACAGTAAAAGAAGACTTTTCATACCCCGTTGTGCGTATCGCTACCGTGCTGGTCCCCTTCTTCTCCACAGTGTGACTCACCGGGATGTCAAAAGTGAGCGGGACCTCGTCCATGTTTGTGATGTGGCTGGGCTGGATGTTTTTGTCGCCGATGTGTTTGCTGCAGTAGGAGCGGAAGATGGCCAGCTTTTCCTTATAATCCGCTGGAAGTTGCTGCGCTACCGTAGTCCTGGTCCGGATGGAAAAATGGCACCGTTTCATAAAACGAAAGCACCAAGACGGACCTCCTTGGAAATGTTCAATGTTCATCTCTTCAGCTAGTGAAACTGCTTTTAGCCGAATGGTGACCATCGAAACGCTTCTCCCGCTCGTTCTTTGCTCGATGATCCACCGCTCGAGTCTTTCCTCCAACTCGGGCCACCTCGCCTTATGTCCGCGGAAACTCAGCTGCGTTTTCTTGACCTGCCGGAGCTTGTTTTCTAGCTTCCTCCAATTGCGAACCATCGATTCGTTAATCTTAAATTCTCTCGCCGCTGCTCGATTTCCATGTTCCTCCGCATAGCTGATGGCCTTCAGTTTAAACTGTGCTTCGTAAGCGTGTCTCTTCGCCATTTTCAGGGTTGTTAAAACAACGATGTCCTGCATAACGCACATACCAGTTCTTTTATACAGGTATGTGCGATAAAGTCAACGCACACACTTCACCCTGTAGCGTTCTCATGGTGTTCTCTACTACGTCCTCATTACAACACACAGGGTGCACTGTGCTACAGGGCGCGCCGTACTTTTTGAAGAAAATCTAAGACTTAAGTGCGCCTTATGGTCGTGAAAATACGGTATTTGTTGGACTAAGATGCTCTTAAATCTGGGAGTAATCTGAGTCCTAAACTCTGTATGTTTCAGGTCAAACGAACACTGCAGCATCACTGAGAGTTAAAAACTGTCTAAATTCTTTCATCTTTAATAAAACGATCAGCATTGCTTCTTTACCAGGTGAAACTATGAAGTTTAACTTCCAGGCATCCATGAAAACAAAATTTATTACATTTAACGGACTTCGAAGTTAGCAGGAAGCTAGCGGAAGTTAGCTCGCTAGTTTCGCTAGTTACCTAAGCATGATATTGCATGTTCTGACTGAGATTTCTGGAAAAATTCTAACATACAGCTCCACTATCACTTCCAACATAAATGAAGACAGGAAACTAAACAGCAGTGACGTTTGTAGGGTTACTGAAGTTGGGCTAGCTGGTATATAATGATGTGCTACCTGATCGCTAGCGACACAGCTATGTTAGCATAACATAAACAGTGAAGCTGGAGGACGAACACTAACACTTTTCCACTTATAAAAGTTAACCTTAAAGTTCCTGATAGTTAGAGACAAATGCAATCGCATGGCAGGATACTGTAAACGGACAAAACTTCAGTCAGGAGAACAACTGAGATAATCCATCCACAATACGAGGTTAGTCATTAATATACTGCAGCAACATGGGAATACAGCAGCTGCCAGAGAATTCAACATTAATGAATCAATGGTACAGAAGTGGAGGAAGCAAGAAGAATGAGTTTAATAAAGTTTGATTTATCTGACTGCTTTGTTTCGCTTAATGTGCCTTATAATCCCGTGCACCTTATGGTCCGAAAAATACGCACTGCACACTGCAGTTTAATGTTGCAAAGCACCTCTTTTTAACTTCAGTGGATATTATACATGTTTATGCTCAGGATGTGTCAGCCCATTTCTACTGGATATTATACATGTTTATGCTCAGGATATGTCAGCCCATTTCTACTGGAAATGTCTTTTGGTTAAAGCAAGGAATTTGCATTTGCACTGTTACATTTTTATAAAGCTTTAATGTACATAAAAACCAGCTTCTTGTATAAGTGAAAATAAATGTAAGGTTGTCTTTTTGCGCTAGTAATGTTGTGGAGTTGTATTTTGTCTCGCATCAATTATATCGTCAGTTATATCGTTATCGCAAATTTTCAAATATATATTGTGATAAATATTTTTGGCCATATCGCCCTGCTCTATGTGTGACGTCTTCTTTTGCACATGCAGATCACTTTGAGGGTTAACACTAGAGCACGTTTGCTGTCACATTTTATATGTAGTGTGAACAAGAAGAAAAAAAATTGGATTTGATCAAAAAATTGGAATTGAGCATTAAGACCTGCAGATCTCTAGGAACTCTCAGGTTGCTGATGTGTTGTCAATCTAATAAGTTGTAATCATTGATTTCTGTTTTTGTTTACTTATTTTATTGAGTGTCTGATTTAGGGGGGAAATGGTTGTAGTTCCAGGCTTGGCTATTTAGCATCAGAAAATAAAAGGAAAAAATAAACCCCAATAAAATAAACATTTAGACAATTGTCTACTTTTGGTGCACGTTTACTGAAAGGTGTGTGTGGGACCTTGGGAAGTTAGGAATAGCATTTTGGATTCTCAGCAAAGTTATTTTAGATTTAAGAAGCCAAAACTTACTTTTGTGTTTGAAGTTTCTGAGCCTTTTTTAAATATGTGGCTCTCACTTGTCCCTTCTTCAATCTGGCAATCTGCTTCTGACTCATCTGAGGTACAGTCTCCATCTTCAGCTGCTTCATCAGTTGAGCTATTAGCTGAAGCCTCAAGTCTGGTACCTGCCACATGAATCTGGTTTGTGTCAGTGATGTCTTCTTCTTCCTCTTCTTTTGATCCGTTTTCAAAACAGTCTGATGTAAAATCGTTGTTGGCTTCACCCAGCCCCAGATGTTGCTCCAAACTTATGTCACACTCAATATGCTCTTCTTTAACACAGACTGGTGTAATGAAGTTGTCAGCTTCAGTCAGCACTTGTCGCTGATCCCAACTTAAGTCATATTCTATTTTCCCTGCTTTAGCTATCGTAGTGAGGCCCTCTGATATTTCAAGGTCCACCCCGGTGTTAGGCTCTGAGGGCTGTTCTCCAGCGTAGTTATTAACATCTGTCATAGGAAATAGAAAAAAAAACCATTACTGAATACATTACATAGTAATCATATATGTTTTGCTTTAGTTTGAGTCATGGTACTTGCCCCTTAACCTGAGATTCTTTTAACATGTCAACGTGGACATGTCAGTGAACACATAAGACATGGAAACAGTTTATCTCAACTATCCTTAGACTCTTACCATGTTGGGGGGGGGGAATCAATAGTCACCATGCAGAACAGCTGTTATTGAGTTATTCACAATCACCAGCCACTCAGTTAGGTACACCTGATCAAAAGCTCTTCAACACAAGAGTGTCGGTATGCAGAAGAGTGTCTGTAAGCGCACAAGACATCAAACCCTGAAGCAGCTGGACTAAAGCAGCAGAAGACCACACTAGATGCAACTCTAATCAGTCAATAATAGGAAACTGAGGCTAGCCAACAGTGGACAACAGAAGACTGGAAAAAATTATTTTTCTGTTCCAACATCCAAATACAAATCATGCTTTGTACTAGGGCTGCCACGGTTAGTCAACTAGTCATTTCAGAGACATCAGTTCCCCACCAGCTCGATAGCTGGAGGGGGGGTTCAAGGCTCACTAGAGCCGGTGAGAAAACCGGACATCCGGCAAATCGTTTTCAAACCCACCGCCATCTTTCGCTACTCAGGTTAAACATGATATATAAGTCACTTAGATAACTTAAAAATGTTATTGTTTGGCTTTTTTCAGTATTTTATTTGTTCCTCTTCCTACTTTGTATCAATGATTCAGGCTGCTGGTTGTGGTGTAACCGTGTGGGGATGTAACGGTTTCATGGCGCAGTTTTAGACATCTTAGTACTAAAACACAAATGATCTCAAACTAGTTTCTTGAACATCACAATTGCTTTACTCCACTCAAACGGCCTTTTAAGTCACTACATCTCAGTCGAGCAGAGCAGTTTTGAGATGCGGTGGAAGGGGGAACGTGGATGTGCAGCAGACAAACAACAGCACCTGTGTGATGCTATCGTATTTTTGTGGATCAATATCTCCAGCACTTGACTGAATCCGTGCCATGAAGAATTAAAGCAGTTCTGTTAAGGTTAAATGGGGTCCTACCTGGTACTGGTCATTTTGTATGTGTTAGACTGATGGGTTACTACCTATGAAACATGTCCGCAGTAGTTTAGTGGTAAAGGCCAATCGAGGTAAAGTTAATTAACAGCTTTATAACGTGAGGGGGCCCTTTAGTATTAGTCTTAACTAACTAACTAAAGCATTAAATTACGCACCCATCACACACACGTCCTACAGTATTTACACACGGTGTCGCATTAAGCTTGCAATGCTTTAATTTAACAATTCCTCTTCAAGTGTAGCTAATACAGGTCAGTCAACTGGAAACGCAAGGATCCAAAAGCAACAAACCTATCCTGTGTAACTTTATCTCGGGGTTGAGGACCATGTGCAGAATGTCCCGCAGGCGCTTGTTTTCCTCACAGCACTCCACGACGATACTTTCAACTTCACCAAACACCTCCATGGCCACGGCGGTGAGGCGTTCAGTCAAAAAGCTCCGAAAGCCCTGGAGTCTAACGCTCGACATTTTGGACTATTATTATCTACACAACGCCTGAGTTCATCCGCGTGAACACGCTCAAACAAAAGAAAACAAACGGAATTTCACAAAGGCGACTTCCTGTAGGAAAAGTCTTCTTCGGTGGATTTCGTGGGTTACATTAGCGCCCTCTTCTGATAGCGCGCAATCTACAAGGAGAAGTACAGATTATAAAGACTAAAGAGGAAATAAAATTTTGAGATTACGGTCGAAATTTTAAGATTAAAGTCGAAATAATATTTTGAAAAAAAGTTGCCATTTTGAGATTACAGTCGAAATGTTATTTTAAGCAATTTTAAGATTGAAGTCAAAATAATAATTTGAGAAAAAAAAGTTGAAATGTTTCGGTTTTTGACAATGACAATGACAATGACACGCCTTGTGGAACTAGGTGTTCTTCAATGGGCTAAATGTTCTAAGGGGTTTTCCTTATATAAAGCTCAGTGCATTCCTTCTTTTTAAGAGTGTTGCCAGATTGTTGATTTTGTCACTCCAAAAAAATGTATGCTTTGTCCGTGATCAGTTTATTTTGGCCCTAATGATGACATCCCATTACTTACATCAACATATCTGTAGACGACATACTGACAGTTCCAGTGAAAAGATCGAAATGCAAGTCCAGCATTTGGAATCGACCCCTGAGCTTTTATCTGTTATGTTTCTCACTAAATAATGAAGCCTCGCTTTTATGAAACTGTTTGTCAGTATTGATCGATTAGTTTAGGGCCTTCGAGTTTCCATGCATATTTTCCAAAGCAGAGAATTTGTTAAAATGTAGGAGACCTTTAAAGCAGGCCTGCTTTTATCCCTTCACACTACTGACCAAAGATGGCGCCAATCCACAACGTCGTTCCCTTAAATAAATAACTTTGAATGAGTAGAAGAAGAAAAAGAAGCAGCAAGGGGCAGGCAGCTGGTGACAGCCGAAGTGTACCGTTCCCCCACCCTCCTCAGCACTCTGTTAACTGGATCAAACGGAGAAATTGCCGGACAGCTCGATGGAAATACAATAGTAACGTTTGCTGATAGTCGGCGATTACATTTTATAACTTTGAGCGGATAGGACTAGCGTTTGTAGGCGAGTCCAAGTAGTGTTATCGTTGCTGCTTGTGGCAAACTGAGTTAACACTGTTGCTTCGAGCTTTTAGCATAGGTAACGTTACCGTTAGCTGTCTAGCAAGCAAAAGCTAAATAACTTCAGTGTTTACGGTCCCATCGGATTGCCAGCTTCGACAGTCTGCCAGGTTATCGCCAAAGCCGTCAGGTTGTCGGCTACTCGGTAAAGATGGGTGACATAAACCCATCGACATCCCATGCATTTCAGTCGGAGGTGAGTGTTTTATATAATTGTTTGACAGTGAGTAGTTTGCAGTCACGGCTAGCGACGTTAGCAAATGTCAACTTATTTGAGGTTGTCACTGTGACTAGCAGCTGCTGATTAGTTAGCGTTAGCTTGCTGCTGCTAATGTTGACATATAATATTAGCCAGTGGAAAAATTTGACAAGTTATACACACCAAACATTCCCGCGGTATTAGAACAAGCTGTCAGCTTTCTATAAATAAAACTTTACATGTCGCATGAAAATGAGTCATTAATGCCACTTTAAACGGTACTTCACGAAACCTGCGAGTTAGCCTTACTGTATGCTTCATGGAGAATAAAACATTCCATCATCATTACGGAGCATGCTAACATTAAAGCTAGCTGACTAACCATCATATTCACGCCATCTGGATTTTTCGCAGTGTAACAGCTGGCGGACAATGATGCTTTTGTTGCACTTTGTTATTCCTTGATAGTCTGTAATATGTATTACCGCGCGGCTTCGTTGTTTTGTCCGTTAATTGAACTATAGTGACACTAGCTGGTTAGCAGTAGCTAGTGAGTTATTTGCGGTCTACCGCTAGCCGACCAAGCTAACATTAGCTGTCGTTTTTAGTTGGGTTTGTCGGTGGGGGTTGGCAGGAAGGTTCACTTTCATGTCTATAGATAAATATGTGTGTGCGTGGGCGTAGTGAATCAAACTTTTGCCTGTGTTAGTCGCCGTTTCTCCCACCGTGTACAATAGAGGATGTGTGGCGCGATCACTCGTCGTTCATATCAACGCCATATCTGGCAGTGCAGGTTTATTGCAGCTAATGCTTCAGTAACATGATTGTGTTTCAGGGTTTCAGTCCGCCGTACAGGAGGAGGAGGACAGTGGAGGATTTTAACAAGTTTTGCACTTTTGTTCTGGCATATGCCGGTTACATCCCATACCCTCAAGAGGTAAGAAAACCAGGCGGTCGGTGGCTGTGCACTCTTCTTCACATCAGCAGCTGTCTAGTTGGGCTATAACGGTGTCTCTTAAATGTTTTAATCAGGAGCATCGCCTGTGTTATACATAGTTGCATTATATTTCCGCATGTAAACAAACAACCATACAAAGTAGGAAAATATTTAGTCTTGACCAGCAGAAGTGAAATCTACACAGAATCAAAATGTTTGTAAAAATGATAAATAATCAAGACCCAAAGCCTGTCACTGAGGTTATCTGAGTGTGTGTGTGTGTGGGGGGGGACTGTTTTAATCATGAGCTTTATTCTAAAACCGGAGCTACTCTTTGACAAAATTATTTGGATCAGTTACAGATGATCTTGCATATCCACTGTGGATTAACTTCAAGTAATCTAAACCTGTGGTCTATTTGTCAGTTATAATATGACTTAATGCAACTGCTGCCACTCATTATTGTTTTTTTATTATTATTATCTTCTTGAATTTTATTCACTCGCTAAATCGGACATGAGACTTTATTGTTTTCTGCTAATCTTGGGGACCAAAAAGGAGATGGCCAGACAGGGAGATTACTTTAACAGATTCTTTTGGCTTTATAGTTTCTCTGCCTGTGTTTATTTTAGTTTTACACATACTCAACTAAGAACTTTATCTTCTTTTTTTCTTTTTGCACTTACATGGACTCTTGGCTTAATACATGGGTCTCTTTTGCCCTTGTCGGGTTTTTTTTTATATATATCTTTTTTTTTTTTTTTTTATTCTCTCACACATACAGCCATCTATGATGTTACTATGTACTAGGTTAACTGAATCGGTTGTATGGAAAGTAGCCTTGTTCATGCTGGTCATTCATTCACATTTATATGCATTTAACTTGTTGAAAACATTCATTTTAGTCTAATTACAGTTTGTTTGTTTTTTGTTTTTTAAGACATGCTCCTCCACTGTCTAGAACATGGAAGCCATGTCCTGTTATCAAAGGATGTAGAGCTGCATCCTTTGATAACAGTGTATCTTTTGTTACGCAATGGGGGGGGGGTTTGTTGTTGTTGTTGTTGTTGTTTGGTTTTTTTATTCAGACTAGATAAGAAGCACCAGGTGGTAGAGATGTTCCTGTAAAGTGACACACACCCTTGATAGCATCAAATGTTCTGTTATTCTCCACTGCTGCAACTAAAGTAGAGCATTGTTTTTAGTGCTATTTTCTGTAAAACCAAAATAAAATGTGACATCCCTCTCTCTGGTTTATGTGAAGTTTCTTTTATCATAACTAACGTTGGATGACTTAGTTTCCTTTTCTTCACCATCAACAGATGACTTGTTCGCTTTCCTTTCAGGGATTTATTTTTATGGTCATGTGATTGCAAATGTATTAATTTTTTACCTGTTAGTAGCCTACTTCATCTCCTTATGTTAGTGAATTAACCCCTGCACTTCCATTTATTATTTTAGGACTCTCCACTGCGCAGTAGCTCAAGCCCCCCGAACAGTACAGGCAGCACAGCCGACAGTGATGGCTGGACCCCAGGACCAGCATCTTCCTGCCCCCAACGCCCCCTGAAGGGCCCCCAGGATAGGAGCAGGAAGCGTCCACAGCCAGGATCCATTCTGTCCAGCCACGCCAAGAAAGATGTAAGACGGATTTACAGTGGGGCAAAAAAGTATTTAGTCAGCCACCGATTGTGCAAGTTCCCCCACTTAAAATGATGACAGAGGTCAGTAATTTGCACCAGAGGTACACTTCAACTGTGAGAGACAGAATGTGAAAAAAAAAATCCATGAATCCACATGGTAGGATTTGTAAAGAATTTATTCGTAAATTAGGGTGGAAAATAAGTATTTGGTCACCTCAAACAAGGAAAATCTCTGGCTCTCACAGACCTGTAACGTCTTCTGTAAGAAGCTTTTCTGTCCCCCACTCATTACCTGTATGAATGGCACCTGTTTGAACTCATCATCTGTATAAAAGACACCTGTCCACAGCCTCAAACAGTCAGACTCCAAACTCCGCCATGGCCAAGACCAAAGAGCTTTCGAAGGACACCAGGAAAAGTATTGTAGACCTGCACCAGACTGGGAAGAGTGAATCTACAATAGGCAAGCAGCTTGGTGTGAAAAAATCAACTGTGGGAGCAATCATCAGAAAATGGAAGACATACAAGACCACTGATAATCTCCCTCGATCTGGGGCTCCACGCAAGATCTCATCCCGTGGGGTCAAAATGATCATGAGAACGGTGAGCAAAGATCCCAGAACCACACGGGGGGACCTGGTGAATGACCTGCAGAGAGCCGGGACCAAAGTAACAAAGGTCACCATCAGTAACACACTACAACGGCAGGGAATCAAATCCCGCAGTGCCAGACGTGTTCCGCTGCTGAAGCCAGTGCATGTCCAGGCCCGTCTGAAGTTTGCCAGAGAGCACATGGATGATACAGCAGAGGATTGGGAGAATGTCATGTGGTCAGATGAAACCAAAGTAGAACTTTTTGGTATAAACTCAACTCGTCGTGTTTGGAGGAAGAAGAATACTGAGTTGCATCCCAAGAACACCATACCTACTGTGAAGCATGGGGGTGGAAACATCATGCTATGGGGCTGTTTTTCTGCCAAGGGGACAGGACGACTGATCCGTGTTAAGGACAGAATGAATGGGGCCATGTATCGTGAGATTTTGAGCCAAAACCTCCTTCCATCAGTGAGAACTTTGAAGATGAAACGAGGCTGGGTCTTCCAACATGACAATGATCCAAAACACACTGCCCGGGCAACAAAGGAGTGGCTCCGTAAGAAGCATTTGAAAGTCCTGGAGTGGCCTAGCCAGTCTCCAGACCTCAACCCCATAGAAAATCTGTGGCGGGAGTTGAAAGTCCGTGTTGCTCGGCGACAGCCCCAAAACATCCCTGCTCTCGAGAAGATCTGCATGGAGGAATGGGCCAAAATACCAGCTACTGTGTGTGCAAACCTGGTAAAGACCTATAGTAAACATTTGACCTCTGTTATTGCCAACAAAGGTTATTGTCAATGGAAAATTGTATTTAGTAGTCAGTATAATCTTTTAGTGATATAAGTTTGCTTATGGTAGGATGCTGTTTGTAGTTATTTGGTAGTGACAGGATGTGTGATTTTTAGCAGGCTTGGTTCACCCCCACATCCTGGGAGCGTGGGAGAGGTCGTACCTTGTTTTATTGTTTTAACGTAGCTATGTCTGTTTTAGTCTAAGTGCTTTAACTGCTGGACTTCCTCACCGTGCCATCTAGGGTGGGGGAGACTACCCTCTTTATGATCAAGGATGTACCTTTTGTGCTTTCATGTTATATGACCCTTTGATCAACACACACACACACACACACACATACGCTCAATGGAGTATAAATAAAGACCGGGGCAGTTCTCTCACTGGAGTCTCTTAGAGTGGAGGCTGCCCTTGCTAGCAAGAAGTTCTGTGTGTTTCTCTTCTCTGAGTCTTTACTGAAGAAGTGTTTTAGAACATTTTCCCTAACAGTTATGTTACAAAGTATTGAGTTGTATTTTTGTTATTGACCAAATACTTATTTTCCACCCTGATTTACGAATAAATTCTTTACAAATCCTACCATGTGGATTCATGGATTTATTTTTTTTTTCACATTCTGTCTCTCACAGTTGAAGCGTACCTCTGGTGCAAATTACTGACCTCTGTCATCATTTTAGGTGGGGGAAGTTGCACAATCGGTGGCTGACTAAATACTTTTTTTGCCCCACTGTATGTCACATCATCAACCTTATATAATCTGACCAGGTAAAAGTTTTGTTATAATTTTCAAATGGATATTAAATTTTCTCCTCTGCAGCACACAATCACTACCCTGCATCCAGATGATCGCAGGAAAGCTGACAAGCTGAAGAAGAAGAAGAGGAGGAAGGAGAGGGAGCATCAGTCTGTTGAAGAACGTGGGGCTCACTTAGCAGTCCCAGAGCTGCAGTGCCCGCTTTCCTTTGGCGGCCGAACAATCAAAGAAGAGCCAGAAGATGACATCAGCATTCCCCTCCACCCCCAGTGCGTGCCTAGCCCGTCCCCTTGCAAAGAGGAACCCAAGGAAGAGCGTCGATACTGGGACGGACGAGACCTTGAGGAAGGGGTGGTAAAGATACAGAAGGTGGAGGGCTTTTCAGGAAACAGAACGGTGTTCCGCCAGGGAAAGCAGGTGGTGTTCCGAGACGAAGATGGCTCAGGGGAGGATGAGGATATAATGGTAGACTCTGGTAAGAGATTTTGGGGTCAGAAATGCTTAAATGTTTTTAAAAAACTGATGAATGAATAAAGTGGAAGCTCAGTGTATTCTGTCTCCTTTCTTTTCAGATGATGACTCGTGGGACCTGGTGACATGTTTCTGCATGAAGCCTTTCGCGGGACGCGCCATGATCGAATGTAACAAGTGCAACACCTGGATCCACCTGTCATGCGCTAAGATCCGCAAGAGTCACGTGCCAGAGACATACGTGTGCCAAAGCTGCCGAGAGACACACGGACCTCCAGACACTCGACGTTCCCACCGCTCGCGTGTAGGCCCACGCAAACACATGCTGGACTGACCCCAGGCCACATCCTGAACTCTGACCCGTACCGCTCCTACTTTAACCCTCTACTGGACTGGCCCCTCCTCCTCAGATTCAGGTCTTGCACCCTTCAGTCTCTCTCCTTCAAGGTTCAACCATGAACCCATATTTTCTACAAACATTTTAGTGGACCTATCCCGAGCCCTTATCCCATTTGAGAACAATTTGAGTGCTATTTTAGATTTACTAAGGTTTGTTTCTGCTTCCTACAGACTCTGCGCGTAAGGCAATCACTGAATGGATGTCTGTCTGTAGATGACATTAGCATAGCAACAAACCGCTACTTTTGGGGCTTGGTGTCTCGTGAACACTGGAAGCATTTTGAACTGCCATATTGAGAGAATTCTCACAACTGCCACCCACTATGGTGCATGCTGGGATTTGTGGGAAAAATGGTTTGCACTTTAAAAAAAAAAAAAATCCACCTAACCTTTCTTTCAGAGACGGGTGTGTCTTTCTGATCTGGTTAAACTGGATTTAATTTCTCTATGATGCCTCTATTGATGTTACATAATTAACCATTTAAAACAGGAAAACAAGTTGAGGCTGGTGTCAATTGCTTCAGATGGTGCTATAGTATTAAGCTGAGGTATAATCGAATAGAACAAAGATGTAGGATAAGAGGCTAGAGTCTGCATCTGCATCATCAGTTTGTTGTTCTGCTTTTCTTGTTTAAGACATTTTCAAGAATATCATTGAGGCCATTAGCTCATACAGCTGAACCAAGATCTTGTCTTCCAGACACTGGTATTCCTCTGAATCAACACGTTACTCAGCCATACACAGAAGCTTTCACACTTTGTTTCTCAACGTGTTTAAACAGTGTTCTTCGCTGACCACATTTGTTCCTAATAAAGAAATTGTTATATAACAGTTTAGAAAAAAAGAAAAATTGGGCAAATGACAAAAGTCAGGTTTTCAGTATATCCTGTTATATCTGGTCAGTATGATTTTAGTTAACCACTTGATGCGCTTGACTAAGTTTTCAGAGACAAATATATTTATAGAAGGGAACCACAGTCCTGTTTGCAGTACTGACAGGTGAAAAAAAGGTATCTGTAACTGGAATGGTGTCAGACCAGAAATCTTCAGTTTTCAATGAAGATTTCCAGTTGAAATTATGCACGCAAGCGTTTAAATAAGGGTGTTGGCGATGCATCTGCTGCTATGAGTTGTCTGAACCAATCTCCATGTTTTTTTTGTTTTTTGGGGGGGGGAGGGGGTTTCAAGTCTTTTGCAAAGCATCAAGTAGGGATGCACTGATGTGTCAGCAACACACCGGTACTGGCCCATGTTGGCCCTGTTGAGTTGTTTTTACACTTTTAACTCTGCACAACGTTGTGAGAATCGGGGCTGTTGTCTACACTTGCCGTCTGACATGTAGCATACAGATTTTTTTTTTTTTCTTCTTCCCCTGTTATAACGATTCATTTGTCATCCTGGCCCAAAGTGAGTAATGCTTAATAATAATAATAATAATAATAATAATAATAATAATAATAATAATAATAAACATAAAAAAAATGGAAGTCAGATTTTTATTCTGTATTGATTCTGAATTTTCAAATCAGTGCACCCCTAGTACCATGGTAGTGGTGGTTTGTCTCTGGAAGGTCAGAGCAGAAGGTCAGATCTCAGTGAGTAATCGCCTCCCGTTAACTTTTGCATTGCAGTATTCGGTTCTATGTGGAGTACCATTGATGGAAAACTTGCTCCCATTTGGATTAAAAGAACTTTAAGCTTTGTTATTCATGTGCCATCTGCTGTTGGGACTTGTGTGTTTCTGAACATATATATATATATATATATACATAAATATAAATATATAAATAAATGCATAAAAGCCATACTGTAGAGTGACAGATTTTAGACTCAGATTCTTGGATACTTGTCGGTGATGGGGTTTTATAATGCAGAATCAAAGAGTTGACCAGGGAACGACTAAAACAGACGAAGAATGTTTGTTTGGGGGGTTTTTTGTGTAAAGAACAAGAATTTCCAAGAGTTTGAACGATTAAACTCATCTGTGCACTCTCCTGGTATTTACAAATGTGGGTTAACTGGTTTGTACCCAGCAGTCGCCTAAGTTATGTTTTTAAGACATTTGAAGAACTAAAATCACTTTTGCTGTTTCTCAGGACATGCTTGTCTTGAAGAGAATCTGAAGACTCCTTCAGACACAAGCTCATAATTTTGAGTGTGCGTCTTAAAGACATTAGTGTAAATTAATGTTGGAGGGGGGGGGGAGCTCATTGTGATACAGCTTGTTTAATCTGAACCTGGGTTGTTCTATCCTCTTACTGAGAAAGCGTTTGTTCTGTGGTGCACACTGTTTCTGTGAAACTATTGTAAACTACTGTAAATAAAGAGTTACCATTTTAACTTGATTTTTTTTCTTTTTAGCGGGGTGAGGTATAAAACTTCAGTGTATTCTGTGACTCTGGAGGGTGTAATCAAATGCCAAACATCTTTTAATCATGTTTATTGTCTTTACAGGACACAAAAACGGGCTCCTGAAACCATTCATAACATTTAAATACTACGGCCAGTCAGTTTGGATGATGGGTTGGAATGTAACAGCAGGGAGCACTCTTTCTGCAGGCCTCAGGGTGGCACCAGAGCAGAGGTGACAGATGACTTGACCAAGAAACCTTTACATCACACTTAAAACAACATAAGACAAATACTACAAACAATTAGTGCAAAATGGACGCTGAAAGAGTAATCCCAACCAAAGAGCAGTATAACAGCTCTCCCTTTCAATACACCAAAATAAACAGGAGCAGGGTGCAACTAATCTTAAAATCTTTGGGACTTTTATGCTACATCACCTACCAATTTCTCAACAGTTAAGTGTATCATAGGATATTTTGCCTTTCCCTCACCATTAAGAGGAGCAAATAACAGCCAAGGAGAATTAGTGCATGTATGACCACATAAAGTGGCTTCAGAACACATTCGCCTTGCAAGCAAAAGATCCCGGGTTCAGTCCTAAGAGAAGACAAATCCCTTGGGGAATGTGTCGGAATTCCCCGAGGAATTGAGGTGGTGTGAAAATCTGCCAAATTAACTTTGTGGTGCTACCTGCAGTGGCGACGCTTTGTGAATAAGGGAGAAAAATATTATTTTTATCATCTAAACGATAGTAATACAAGCCCTCTGCAACTATAGAGGGGCGTGTCGCTTAAAATGAGTGTGAGTCTGATTTGTTTTCAATGAAAGCATCAGGAAGAATAGTATTAAATTAAAATATGACAAACTAAAACACTGTAACACCTAATTTAGACAATATAGCTTTGTGGTTTTGGTGAGGCTACGGTTCAGTTGCCCAAAACCTCTAGAGTCAATGGAAACATGTGCCTCTGTTCTACGGTCTCTCCACCTCAGAGAGCAGCAGAAGGACCCCGACACAAAATAGAGTAGATATTATTGACAACTATATTGCCAAAAGTGTTCACTGACCCACTCAAATCATTGAATTTAGGTGTTCCAATCACTTCCATGACCACAGGCGTATAAAATCAAGCACCTAGGCATACAGACTTCTTCTACAAACATTTGTGAAAGTACAGGTCGCTCTCAGAAGCTCAGTGAATTCAAGCGTGGTACTGTCATAGTTGTTATTATAATAAAGTGGAAGCATTTGGCAATGACAGTAACTCGGCCAGAAAGTGGTAGGCTACATAAAAATCACAGATCAGGGTCAGTAGATGCTGAGGTGTGTAGTGCACAGAGACGGCCAACTTTCCGCAGAGTTAATCGCTACAGATCTGCAAATTTCACGACCTTCAGATTAGCTAGAGAATAGTGTGTAGAGAGCTTTACAGATTGCGTTTCCATGGTAGAGCAACTGCATCCAAACCTTACATCACCAAGTACAATACAAACCTTCAGATGCAGTGGTGTATAGTATGTTGCCACTGGACTCTAAAGCAGTGGAGGCGTGTTCTCTGGAATGATGAATCAGGCTTCTATATGTGGCAATCCACTGGACGAGTCTGAGTTTGGCAGTTGCCAGGAAAACAGTACTTGTCTGACTGCATCAAGCCAAGTGTAAAGTTTGGTGGAGGGCTCTGTGGGAACAGTGTGGGGAGGGGAGGGCAAGGTCCATAAAGACACGGTTGAGCAAGTTTGGTGTGGAAGAACTTGACTGGCCTGCACAGAGTCCTGACCTCAACCTGACGGAACACTTGGGATGAATTCGAGCGGAGACTGTGAGCCAGGCCTTTTCATCCAACATCATGTCTGACCTCACAAATGTACAAATTCCCATAAACACACTCTTAAACCTTGTGGAAAGCCTTCCCAGAAGAGTTGAAGCGGTTATAGCTGCAAAGGGTGGACCGACATCATATTAAATTCTGTGGATTAAAAACGGGTTGTTCAAAAGTGTGTGAAGCCAGACAAGCAAATACTTTTGGCAATATAGTGTATAAGAATGATCAATTCAGATCAATACAAACCATGAAAGGTAGAGGTGGATTGTAAAGTGGCTTGCATATGCACAGCCCTATTACAGATATGGCAATTGTGGAGTGTAAAGGGGGAATCATCTGATCTGTGACTGCAGCTGGGCTTGATTTCATAGCCAACGTGTTAAGCTCAATAAATTACATCAGCAGCAAATGAGCTACATGTGGCAAAAGTGCTGATCTTCTCCAATTTGCATCCAACCAATTACAAAATAATCCAAATGTTTCAAATCCATGCCAGTATTTTACTGCTACCACTGGATTTGTTCCAGATATACATCAGAGAAGTACAAACTATAACCTTCACTGTATTTAAAGTCCTTATAGAAAATTCTGTTTTGGCTGCAGCTACACAGTCAATCAATAAACACTGACGCAAATCAAATCCAAGCTGAATTTCTGCCTTTAAATTGCAGTCTAGAATAGATATTAAAAATCAATATGTGGAATTTGAGCTTCTCTCCCTCTCTTCAGTTGGAACTCTACCATTAAAGGGCAACTGCCGCGTTCCCTCCCCGAGCAAGCCCTCCCCTTTCTTCTACATCTCAGCCTTCACAGATACAAGTTCAGAGCACCAGTTAACACCTGCCGACCGGCACCGCAGTGAGCAGCAGATAGCGGCACTAAAATCATAAATAAATTAGGATGATTTTTTTTTTGAGCGGATGATGAGAAATTAAAAAAAAACAAAAAAAACTCGAGTTTAGTCATTCCTCAGTCGTGGCTAGCCTCGGGGTTAGTGAGACGTGATCTGCGACCAGAAACATTTACATGAATTATTGCAATGACTATGCCATACCAATATTAGATCAAAACTATCAATGTGATACACATATAGGACAAAGACTACAATGATATGGGGTAAAGTAGAGCCCCCACTTTTAGCTCATCATTTAGGGAGTGTCAGGCCCTCTTGTGTAGTGCATATATAAATCTATGTTGTAGGTCTGTAGGGTTGTAGGGTCTTCTCCCCTGCAGAAGGCAGGTATTTGAGCAGCTCTCTCAGGTGTGGGGACACAAAGGGCAACACCTTGTCAGTGCTGACTGAATTCTGCTGGCCCACAGGAAAACATGAGTGGAGGAACTATCGGATTTGCTAACGTCACAACAGAAGAAGGCCAGAGGAGAGAGGCCAGCTTATTTTCGATGTGACCCCCTCCATTCTTGGGTTCTTCTGTTCACACAGTCCGTTTGCCTCGCCGTACTCCGACAGCGCTGCCCTCTAGGACTCGGACTCAATTCTGTGAGCTGATGAGACAAAAACACACTAGTAATCTGAACACGGATGCAAGCAGATGCTGTGCTGTTGAATACTATGATAAATAATGTTACTCTTAATAGTCTCGCATACTAACATTGCTTGGGTATCCGTAGCGACTCTGTGTCTGCAGAGATGACTTG